TCCATCTCTGCACAAGCAGCTGACAGGCTTGAGTAAGAACCCACCTACAGAAGAGCTTGTTTGGCAGATACAAAACCAGACCCACAAGGGCTATTAAACCAGTACAGCTCCACCATGGTAACTGGAACAACAGGAATCTGCACCAGCTGCAGGCCTGGCCCATGGAATATCAGGGTTGGCTGGCAGGGTCCTTTCATGCTATACGTGAGTTTAGCCCAGAAATCCTAACGGCTCACAAGCAAGCCCTCACTTTGTCTCCTCCAGACTGAAATTCAGCAGTTCCCTCTCGCTCTCCATTGTGGATTCAGCAGCACTGGACTCAGTGGACTCGAGGCAGCCATTCTCCACACTCCTCCTGGCTGGTGGGACCGTGATCTCCTCACCATCAACCAGGGCCTGGGACAGTTCTTCCTCTGTCACAGCTGCAAAAACCAAAACAAAACCCTGCTGCAATGAACTCCAGCAGCCCAGGAAGACAGCATCTGTAATGGGGCACAGACTGCTGCTGCAGAGCTATATATACCACAGGGGTTTGGTCCAAAAATTGTCCTTTGTGCTGGCCTTTTCCTTTCATCCTCCTCCTGCAGTCAAAAGCCGTGCAGGAGAATTCCGGCAGCCATCAGCAGTCCCTCAAAGTGGGAAAGATATCAGGGAGGGATGCAAACATGCTTTGCTATTTCTTGTCTCTGGAGAAAGCTCCAAAAAACACCAAATTGCTGTTACCAGATGGAAAAGCTTCTCATTTTCTGAGGACAGCAGATCCAATTACAGAATCTTTGTTTTGCCACAGCAAAGGAGAGAGCTCTGAAAAACCACTAATTAGTGGTACTGTCGCAGCGAGGCTCTCTTAGTTCCACTAGTGAGGGAAGGGAGGGGAAGGGAGGGGGTGGATCTTGCAGACAAGACACTCAACCTCTAACACATCCTGACTCAAGAAAGAGTCAAAGGATGCCTTAAAGGGAGGAAACAACATGTCACTGGTTTCCAGTTCACCCTGCCCATGGCGTGGGGCTGTTTGTTTATCTGCAAACACTCACCTTGGTTATCAAGCTTCTGCAGGCTGGGTAGGTTACGCAGCACCGTCATTCGGTAGCGGTGGGGGTCCGACCCACAACAGGGATTTTCAGACAGCCACAGGACCCTCAGCCGGGGTAGCTTTTTGAGGTAGAAGAGCTCATTTAGGCTTGTGATGTTGTTCTTCCTCAGGTAGAGTTCACTCAGATTCTGGCACTGATTCAGCGGCTCAAGGTCCGAGATGCCATTCACACTAAAGAGAGATGGTAGGATGAGAGACGAGTGAGCCCATCCCTCCCTTGCTGTACCGTTCAGGCTTTGCACAGAACAAAAAGATAGCGTTTCATCTTTCTAAACAGAGGAAAGAATTAAAAAAACAGGCTTTCCTCTCAGCTGAAGATGACAAACAGCCTCTGCTTCCCCAAAACGACCCTTTCTGTAGCAGTTCCCCAAACTCACTGAAGGAGAACTCATAGAAGATTTCCAAGCTAAAAAGTTCAATCCACAGACAGCATTGGCTCCGTGGGATCCCCAGGACAGGTGAAGGGTGTGTTAGGAGGAGCTTACAGAAATTAAAAGCTTTGTGAGAATCCATGAAGCGCTTCAACAAGCATTTTGCAAACTAGCCCCATATAGAGGCCCAGAAGATCCCATCCAAACTATGGAACAGGACTTAGGGAGCAACAGCCCTAAGAGGTTTTAACACCTCTCAAAACCAGGATTGTTTTCTGGAGTAGCAAAGGGAAAAGTGTAGAAAAGCTAGCAGAAGAATAATCATTTCCACATCTCTGCTGGTCAAGAAATCAGGCATGAAGAGTCAGGCAGCTCAGACACACAACCACAGAAAGGAGATAAGAAACCAAGAGCCGAGGCACAGCCCGACAAGAAAGGTGATTTCCCCTGCCCTCTCCAAGGCCGGCAGCTTGACATTCACCTGAATGTGATCACCTCAATGTTGGGCAAATCCCGGCATATCGATATCTGGGCAGGAAGAGACAGAAACAGCAAGTTGGCACTCCCAGAAAAAAAATATAAATAAAAGCAATTTAAATCACAAACAAGCAAGATAAAAGGAAGAACAGGCGCTCAGGTTTGCTTCAGTCTAACCCAAGCTTAACACCACCAGAGAGATTTGCTGCTGCAGTCAGCGCAGAGTCAGCAGCTCCTCCGCCCTCTCCACCCAGCAGGGGAAGCGCAGACACCAGCCAGCATCACGCTGCTCTTCTGCTCCAGCAGCTCTGCAGTCTCCAAGATGGTTTTCCAACCACCGCACGCAAGAAGCGATCCTTCTTACCCCGGACAGCCCTCTCCTAACAAGGGTACATCATGCAAAGTTCCAGATGAGGCAGGACTCAGGTCCTGCTTTCCAGGGGTCCGTGTAGAGCCTCGGAGAGGAATTTTCCAAGCACTCTCTGGAAACAACAGCAACCTCTTTTTTTTTTTTTTCTTTTTTTTTTTTATGAGTGATGCTAATCAATCCTAAAAAGCATTGCAGCTTGCTGGCACCCAGCCAGCCCAAATCCAAGCCTGCGCCTTCCTCCATACCCCATCCCCTCCCTGCTCCAGCTGCTGGCCCAGGCTAAGGATTCCATCCTGCAGCAGGGCACAGGGCACAGGCTGGGGTTCCACGATGGCAGCCAAGAGCCACGGGGACCCTCCTGGCTGGCTCTCCTGGCGGTACAGGAGCAGGCTGTGGGGTACTTACATCCGTCAGGTGGCTGCCCCTGCGGGAAGAGAGCAGGGGATCACGGGGAGCATGGAAGGGCCCAGCCACCCACCCGCTATCCCTGTGCCCGGGATGCACAGCCCCAGCCCAGCACCCCCTCA